CTTCTTGGGGCATAACAGATAGCGACCGATTTTTCGCCAGATGTGTTAAGCCCGAGTTGTGCAAATCTGTAGATGGTGTTCGTGATTGCGCGCTGCACTTCCCGCGCCATTGTCTGTCTTCGGTGACTTGAGGACGTCGCCCATAGCGCAACATCATCCGCGTATACCGCCATGTTGATTGGGTAGTTGGGTTTTTCGCCTACTTTGGCTGCTGTGGGTAGGGACGATATGGCTAGAGAGAAGAGCAAAGGACTTATAACACTGCCCTGTGGGACTCCCCTGACGATCTTTCTTGGTTCGCTGAGGAGGCCCCCGACACGGACACGCATTGTTCTCCCACTCAGGAAGGCACATACATACTGGAATGGCCTTCCTCTTACGCCAAGTGCTCTTAGCGCTGAGATGATAGTTGTGTGCGGAACGGCGTCAAAAGCCTTACTTACGTCAAGGAAGACCATCACCGCGGACCATTTTTGTGCCTTCGCCTGTTCGAGCGCGCTGATCAGGTCCCCGAGGGCGTCAGCGGTACATCGATGGTGTCGGAATCCCGCAAAGCAGTCGGGAAGCGCTCGCGTCGCCTCTAGGTTGTAAACGAGGCGACGCAGGACCATTCTCTTCATCAGCTTGCCAAAGCAATATGTGAGAGAGATGGGCCTGTAGGATGTTATATCCCTGGCAGGCTTGTTTTGCTTGAGAAGTGGTACTGTGATGGCTTCCAGGAATCGGGCAGCTGTGCTGTGCGCCAGATATGGTTGATGTATTCTAGCAGAGCAGGGTGGTACATTTCATCGATGTTTTTCAATGCTTGATTGGTTATGCCATCCAATCCTGGTTAGGATCGGTGCCGTGGAGATGAGCGCAGCGCAATTTGCAGCTCATGTAGCTTGAAGTCAGCGTCTGGGCTTTGCATTGGAGGTGCCGTAGGTTGGCAGAAACTTCTCCAATTTTGTGGAGCCTGGTCTGTTGTAGGTGTGGTAGGAGCGCTGGTAAAAGCGTCCGCCAATAGCTCTGCGATGTTGAGAGGTGTGAGGTTTCGTACAAGCCCAATGCTGAGCACTGGTGTTCTTGGAGATGGTCGCCTCGCGAGTGCGTTTGCCATTTTCCAGGCTTTGCTCCCGCCGGCGCGCTTGTGAAGTGAACCGCAGAGGAGCCTCCACTGGCGTCGGGCTAGCTTCTTTCTGTGTCTCCTAAACTTTGCGTCTAACCTTCGGTACTTCAGGACGTCCTCGGGGCGGCCCGTGCGCCAGGATCTCCTCTGGGCCCTTCTTCTCTGAGCTCTTAGTTCGAGCCACTTGAGATTCGGATTAGGTCTCGAGCTGGGCACTTGTACAATCCGTGTTGCCGCTTCAAGTGCGTTCGAGATGACGTGCTCAGTGAGATCGATCCCTGACTTGAGTCGCTCATCGAGCAGTGCCCGGTATTTGTCCCAGTGAATAACGTGGCATGTTTTGAGCTTGGACTTCGGAAGTTTTCCTATGATGATTGGAACGTGGTCACTCCCCCAGCTGTCCGGTTGAGGTTTAGTTGGAAGTCGCAAGCTGGGTGATGTCAAGGTGAGGTCGATCACACTCCCTTGTACCCCGGCGCGAATGAATGTCGGCGTTCCGGCCGTCGTGTTTCTGAGTCCCATATTGTCGATGGTCTGTTGCAGGTTTTTCCCTCTCTGATCCGTTTTAGAGTCTCCCCGCGTTTCCGAATGCGCATTGAAGTCCCCCGCGAATACAATCGCATGTTTTGTGCGGGCACGTATCGCGACGAGAACTGTAGGGTCCCACTCCCCTGAGGGATGTATGTAGCAGCAGACCAAGGTTAACTTGGTTTTGGCAATCTCCATCTCTACTGCTACGAATTCAGAGTTATCCGTATTGAAGTCACTGAGATCGAGTTCAATCGGTGCATGCGAAGTATGGACAAACAGGGCCGTTTTTGGTTTATCGCTTCCATTTGATGGGGTGCCGTGGTAATAGATGTAATCGGATAATCGGAGAAGGTTCGGTTGTATTCTTGGTTCCTGAATAGCGAGCGCGTCTTAGGTGTTCTCTTGCAAGTGTTCTCTTAGTTCCGGCAGACGTTGCCGAATTCCATTGCAGTTCCACTGAAGGATGGACACTGACGTTTGGCGTTGGTTGCTTCTTGTAGTTTTCTTATTGGTGGCTGCCATTGCGTGTGTGTGGACCTTGACTGCAAGCTACCGGGTCGTGCGTGACTTTTCGGCCGTAACGCGCATGTTGGGGATGTGGAAGCCTGTTGTAGTAGAAGACGTAATCCACTATGTGTAAGATGTCTGACAATCTGAGTCTCTGCTTAGTCATAACATTGACTGCATGAGCCATGATGTCGTCGTAGAACCCTGGAAGTCGTGTGTTGAATCCGTTACAATTGCATTGGAGGGAAAAACAGGCATGGAGTTGAAGTCGAACTGTAGGTACTCTATTAGTGTCCCCTGTCATGGTTTAGAATACCCTAGAGATAAGAGACTCTAATGAAAGGATTGCTCTGATCACTTGATGAAGCGTAGATGATGATGATATTGTAGCCAATATTTTGCGGAGAGTGGTAAAAACTAGCGTGATTATCGCTTTAAACGGAAAGGTGGGCTCCATTCCACTGCTTGCTTCGGTTGATACCAGCGCACTTGGATCTGAAGGTGTGCGCGAAGTAATGGTTTCGATGCTTTGCTTCTCCCAAAATGATGATGTTTGGGGACCTTCTTGTGTGACTGTTGCGGCATCATCAAGAGTAGTGGTTGTGTTCCGGTTTTCAAGCGGAGGGAACTCTTCATCAGTTGCTGGTGGCACAGCCTTGATGCTGGTGTTCTGTTGATGTTTTTCTTTCGTGGACGGTTTCTTGCTTGTTTGTCTCCTAGCATGTATCGCCTCTTTTGCCTCACGAAATGTCGTATTGTGTTCTAGCTTATATCTTGTCACCTCTGTCTCTCTTGCCTTGATCGGACATTCGGCTGCGTTAGAGGCATGGTCTCCTTGGCAGTTCACACAACAGAGTTAGGATTCACACATGCCATCATGGCATTCTCCACATCGAACGCATACTTGTGATTCTGATGAGCACGCAGCTGCTATGTGGCCCAACTTGTGGCACTTATAGCATTGCAGGGGGCGTGCTCTGTAGGGAATGACCGCGGTTCTTACAAGGCCCACCTTGACGTGCTGATGTGCCTGTTTTCCTGCAAATGCTACCCGTACGACAGGCGATGTTTTGCCAAGTCGCTTAACTTCTACTATGCCCATAGAAGACTGAGGTTGGGCCTTTACGTCGTGCTCTGTGCAATCTAGATCAATGTCGCGTAGGACTCCAAAACAGTTTGAGCGGTCGTTCGGTATAAAAGCTTTGACCGGTACTGTGCAGAGCTTGTTTAGCTTGAGGAGCTCGGCTTTGAATGCTGGTCGTTTCACATCAACTGCAACGATGTTTCGGGCTTTGTTAATCCGAACAACAGTGACCATGGTTGGTGCAGCGTTGTTCAGGTAGTCTGTGAGCTTTAACTTGCTGAGTGAATCTACTTTGTGATTCTCAGTAGGGGTAAACAGTACGGTGCATCCTACTTGCAAGTTGGCGCCATCCTTGGAAGATGATGCATCGCTCTTGCTCGTCTTTCGTCCTTTCTTTCCTTGTACGACCTCGTATGCGCCGTCCTCAGATTCCATGCCGTCATCATTTTGAATGGTCAGAATCGTCAATGAGGAGCTGTTGATTGCTTCGGAGTTGGTTTCCATTAGCGGAATTTCATCAACATCTTTCAAAAACGTGCATGGACTTGCCTGCTCTTTGTCTGGTTTAAGGGCAATCTGTGTCTTCGGTTCCGAGGCGGACATTTCTGCAGATGTTCTAGCCTGCAGAATGGAGGCTTTTTGTGCATATGGATCGTATGCTTCTCTGGTGGTAGGGGATCGTGATAATCTGACCTCAGGAGCACAATTTACAGGCTATTGAAGTATAATTATAGAAGAACCAAAACGGGGTTACCCTGAGCGGTGTCGTCGTCGTCTTCCTTTCCGCTTGAGTTGTAGATTTAGACTAATAAACAGTTCGTATTGGGTTAAACATTGCGGTTGTCATTTAACAACAGCACACACGCGCTTTCGCTCTCCAGAACCGGGGGCGCGTTGTCAAGTGGTCTTTCTTTTTTTTATATATATTTCGCGGGCTTTCTTTTTAGGCAATAAAAAGAAGCGCGCAGAGCGTATCATGGAGGAAACACCTTAATTGGGCGTTTCTCAATGCGCTCTAGAACTTTTCAATTCGCACCTCTGCTCTCAACGAATACCTAAAAAAATAGATAATTAGTCGTCATAAACTAATTAACTAGGCGAACTGAAAAAAAACAAAAAAACTTGTGCAATTTCCCAAAACGCTTTCCAACTTAAAATTGGTCTCACTCTCGCAGGGCCTTCAGTTTATTTGTAAAGTTTGGTGCAAGTTCTCTGTAAACAATAAAGTGTATCTATGTTCATATTGAAATTAGGAATTTAGACGTTTTTTCCCTATAGTTTCGCCAGTACTGATTGGCAGACTAGAAACAAAAACATTGGCTGGTAGGTTTTTCTTTTTGGTCACTTTCTAGCTAACTTTTTGAAGACTGTAACAACATCTCAGTCCAACGGCGACTAGTGAAAGCTGATTTATAGAAATTTATATATTTCTTTATATTACCCTATTTAAAGACTTCTGATTTCAATATCTATATTCGTAAACGTCTTTAAGTGGTGCTTCCAACGTAAATAAAGAAATAGCTCCGTTTGTTTGTAGTGAGTTATATCTTCAAACTGTGTCCTTATTACATAAAAACGCTGTCATTTTAAGCGTGCAGGCTACTACTAAAAAGTGTAAACTCGATTAATTTGTAATTGTTATATTCTAGGGTTTCAGTTACATTACAGAGTATTTTTCACAACACACAAAACAGATATAGAAGTTAAATAATGTAGATAAGAGTGTAAGATTTTTCATTTGATCTAACACAAGACACTTCTCATTACTAGATTGTCAAAAAATTCAAGGAGCTCGGACAAGCCGCATCAGTTCTCCTAGATAAAATGCTAAACGAGACTGCCACCCGGTTCGCACGATCGACCTCCACTTCGAAGCTTCATGCCGGGATACTTTTTCTCCGGGTAAAAACCTCCGAAGCTTAATTTTCAAGCTCTGGGACACGTCATGACTATTGTTTTCTTTTTTGTTTACCTTTATGCCTCTTTGCAAGTAGCAGGGGAGCGGGGTAGTGCCATCCGGTGAACGGGTACTGGCCACCCACACTTGGAAGAAAAGCAGTTCACTTTCCGTCAGGACACCGATACAGATAACCACGGCGAACAGACGAATTCCATGGCGAATGACGGATATAAGATTAGATCTGAAAAATGCTATTGGCGCAGGGACAAGGAGCAAGTGAAAAGACGGAAAAAGCGCCCGTATGAAGGCGAACTGCTTACCGCGACTCCAGCTGTCTATGGGTGGCGCCACCTGTTTTCCAAAATGGCGGTTATAGCGAGGGTCGGGGATGCTTGCCCGTATACCAGTTGCTGAGCCCTGTCTCCCACTGTTTTCATGAACCACGCCGCCAGCCGTCGCCCGGTTTCTTATGTAACTAAGCAAGGGTGCAGGCGAGCTGGTTCAATACTTGCATGGTAACCCTGAAGCCGGCGAAAAGAAGGGACGTAGGACAGACACAAAACTCCAAATACAGCAAAAATTTTATATTACCGTCACGTCCTTAAATAGATTTACGACCAAGTGTCTGTCCTATGGTCCGTTCTTTTCCCCGGCTGCAGGGTTACCATGTCGGTTTCTTATGTTTTAGTAGTGGTCACCATGTAACGTGGCTGACGACCAGTGAAAAGGGAAAACATCTTATTACGTTTATCAACAAATTTATATTTTATTCTTGTTTTGATGAGGCTGGCAACAACTACTAATTTAATCTAATAAGATATAGTACAAGCCACAGACATATTCTCATTTAAACGCATTAGATTTTGCAGAAAAACGAGTAATTAGTGAAGGTGTTTAAAACAAAAATATATGTTGACTCTGATATGTCTCCTATTTCACAGGTGGCTCAGGGTCTATTCGGTGGTTCTGATACCAAGTGCTATGACACAGTCGGATGCTTTACAAAAGGCGGTGATCTGACTCTTCCCAGCGGCTTCCCAAGCTCCCCCGAGAGTGTCGGCACAAAGTTCAAACTTTATTCTAGGCAACACAAAGACAAACCAGTTGAAATTTCTGAATCTTCGCCTAAAGAAACCTTAAAGAGCTACTTCAGTACCAAGAAGGACTTGGTGTTTATTATTCACGGTTTCGGACAAGGGGAACACAGCGAAATACCCATTAAGATGAAGGACGCATTTCTCAATAAGGTATAGACTAATCTAGTCGTCTTTGAATGTAACTACACGGTTAGCCGCAGGACGAGCTGTTGGGCGACTACTGCCGCTCAATGCCTTGACGATTTCACCTAATTTTGTTTTTAAAACTTCTCAGGGCGTACACAGATGACCAACTGAAGGCTATGCAAGGACAAAATGGCTAGTACCTGAAACAGAACCGCCCCTCGCGCTCCCTAGGCGACTGGTGGCCGCTAAAAAAAATCCGCCTGGTATCAGTTTCAATCACGGGGCCTCGCCGCCAAGACTAATGAAGCATTCTACAAACTGAACTAATCGCGCGCTCGCAGTCAGTATAGGGCAAACGGATGTAAACCGTTGCCACCAATTTTGGTCATGGCCACCGGAGGGGCTTTAGGGGACTTCCCTTAGAAATCGTGATGTCTAATCATTAATGTCTGATCTCACCCTTACCGTGTCTAAGATGAAGGCAAACGGATGTTAACCGTTGCCACCAATTTTGATCATGGCCACCGGAGGGGCTTTAGGGGACTTCCCTTAGAAATCATGATGTCTAATCATTAATGCCTGATCTCACCCTCACCGTGCCTAAGATGAAGGCAAACGGATGTTAACCGTTGCCACCAATTTTGAGCATGGCCACCGGAGGAACTTTAGGGGACTTCCTTTAGAAATCATAATGTCTAATCATTAATGTCTGATCTCACCCTTACCGTGCCTAAGATGAAGGCAAACGGATGTTAACCGTTGCCACCAATTTTGAGCATGGCCACCGGAGGGACTTTAGGGGACTTCCTTTAGAAATCATAATGTCTAATCATTAATGTCTGATCTCACCCTTACCGTGCCTAAGATGAAGGCAAACGGATGTTAACCGTTGCCACCAATTTTGATCATGGCCACCGGAGGGGCTTTAGGTTACTTCCCTCAGAAATCATCATGTCTAATCATTAATGTCTCATCTCCCCTTTGACGTGGCTAAGATGAAGACTGTGCGAGAGTTAACATCCGTGTTTCCTACTTACTGCTAGCTCTTGTTTATCTCAGTTGGTAGAGCACACCGATAGTCTCGGGATTGATCCCAGGGTCAAATCTCGGACCGGGCAGGTTTTTTCAGCGGCCCCCAGTGCCCTACATACCCAGCCTCCAGGGCAGTGAACAGGAGGCGCCTCGGTCGGCTGCTGGTCAACGCGAAAGGTCGCGTCACCGAGCGATTAGACACGAGCGCTGCGTCACGGTTCGGAACGGCGCTCGGAGATTGGAGCCCGAGATGATTACGGCCGCGGGCCGTCACTTGGTTGCGAAAATTCCCCATAAGGCGGCGCCTCTTGTCCAAACAAACTTCATTGCCCGGTGGGTAGAGGGCGCTAGTTGTGCTCATTTTCAGGTGAAAATCAATTTATCCTTGAATAAATTTTCTCCAGCTTGGGGACCTCCACTAAAAAATATTATATCCAAGCTCGACGCTAGTTCACACATCTGCGTTTGAGTGTGATTGCGGTGTATTTCAACATCTTGAGGCCGCTAATGACGAAAGAGCCGGTACACCGGTGTCACCTGTTAGGAAGCGCTAAAAACACTCCCTTCTTTAATACATGTGTCTGTACTAAAATATTTTGCAGTATTCTGCTAGATGAAATCTACGCACTATCTATGAGAAATTGTCGGATATGACATTAGCTAAAATTATTTTAATCCCATAATAAAAAAAAAATCGTAAAAAAATAGGAATATACTCAAATCGAAAGTGTTCTAGGGCTACCCAATACATGACGTCACTGTGGTCTCTCGTCCCAAGAGCAGGATATTCACATTTACACAACTACCACCATCGATTGATCGTGCCGCTAGTGCGCCTATTGGTTGCCTATGACGCATCGTCATTTCTGGCTCATGACGAATCCTACAGGCAATTGCAATTGTTTCTGTTGGTCAACAACGTGTCCCCCCCCCCCCCCCCCCTAGAAAAATGCACAGTTCTTTTTTCTTTTTTTTTCGATTGTACCAGTAGGTTACGCTTTGCTGAACGCTCACTATCCGCTCCAACTTAGCGCTAGAGGTCCGTGCAAGATATCGAAGTTTGAGAACTAACCGTTCTGTAGTTTTAAATTTTATCGTTTGTTTCTTCTCTGAGAGCATGCAGTGCACTCTCGACAGTTGGTGTGTGTTCTGGCTTACAAGTTACAACCTCCATGAACGTAGAGAACATATAAAAACAGCCATAGCACGCAGTACCGAGTGAGTCACGCCAGAGCCGCATATGTAGAGAGTTTGGTCAATGGGAGGTGCGGGCAGAGCCAGGGCGTGCGTCAGGCTCGGAAAGAGGGCTTGGCATGCTCTCTTGACCAACCAGAAGCCGAAAAGAATCCCCTAGCGGTGGTAGCGAGAAACAGTTCTGATCGAAAGTCTATGTTCATATACAATTTTAACAAGTGCGTAAGAGTGAAATGTAGTAACTCTTTGTGGTTGAAAATAGAGTCACGTGTTGTTTTGATCATGATCATTCCAGGGGGGGCAAAGGTGGGTGAGGAGGAGTGGCAAATCCCGTGCGCCGACACCCGGGGTCCCGAGTGAACGATCGCAAAAGAGAGCGACAGAACACGAGAGAAAGAAAGCAACGTTGCCATGGTAAACGCGAAGAGTGAAAACTCTCAGCAATATAAACAGTGATAATTTAACGTTGTAAACGAAATTCTGAGCTATTCCAACGCTTATAAAAAGCAATCAAGTTATTACGCTGCATTAACTTCCCTTCTGTCGAAATCTCGTAAATCTGGTGGTTGCGCAGTTTCGTATTCCTCAACCGCGCCCACCCGCGCCGCACCGGCGGAGCCGGGTATATGGTTTAGTTTAGCGTTAACGCGAGGCCGTACATCTGCGCGTTATGCAAAAAGAAAGCTTCGAAAGGAACGCGAATATCTTTCCACCGGTAAGTTCGTGGATTGTTGAAGTTCACGAAACTGCTCTGATGATGTAACCGTGTTTGGGACCCCGAGGGTCTGCCTGCATGATCCGCCGCTTGCGGCAGCCAGAATGTATGGGAAAATGGCGGACCTTTTCCTCTAGAGTTAGTATGTATGATCTCTATGGATCATTCGGATCCATAACTCTATGTTCGGATCATTCAGAAAGATGTAAGAAACGAATGCACCGCTCAACTCTGTTTTGCGCGGACAGTGTGTGACCGCCCGGACGGCAGATTCCCGGCCCTCGGCGTTTGGCGTACGGATTATGTCGATTGTTCCGCTAGTCGCACTCGTCCACCATCATTTTTGATGAGCTTGATTGGTACATCACGTGTACCATATTTTCAGCCATCGAGAGTTACTCCAATGGAGTTATCAGGTTTGTTTCTCGCGACCACCGCCAGGGTATTATTTCCGGCTTCTGGTTGGTCACATTCGAATTTCTGAAGACGCCCTGGAACACGCCCAGCCCGCTTTCGGCCAATGGCGCCTCCTCAGTTGTCTCCTATACTTCCCAACGAATGGCCAAACTCTCTACATATACGGCTCTGAGTCACGCTAGCGCTCGATCCCGTGTTTACGCCCACATCAATGCCAGCGCAAGTTTGCACGAGTTTGCTACATTACACCTACCGTTTTCTCAGCAGTTGCTGCCTTTTCACCAGTCATTTTCGACAATATACCATATTTACTCGAGTAATTGACGCACTGTTTATCAAGGAAGCCTGCGCGTCCACTTTCAAGTGGAGCACACGAATTCTCAATCGTCGCAATCGACGTAAGAGACCCAGAAACTCACAAGACAAAAATAACGTCCTCACGGAAAAATGAATAAATTGCAGATTGCATTTTTACGAGGTATTGTTTTTTGGTCTCCGTATTCACCAAGTTTATTGTGTAAAACGCGACAATTGACTGTCTGTGTTCCCTGTGGGAAGTTTAAAGTGCGGTGTACTCTCAGGATTCCACGACGTGGCATCTCGGCGGAAGATCATTTTTTTCTTTTCCTCAGACGTAAAAAAAAAATAATAATAATAATATATTACTTTACACATTATCACTAAAACGCATAGTAAGGTTCTCGATAGGTTGTAGACGGTGGTTCCTCCTCGATGGTGTGGAGGAGGATGGCTTGCGTTGGACGGTGGCGGTGGTGTAGCAGGTCGGGCCAGACAACTGTTTACGCAAATTGCTTCTTTGCAACAGTTTAATAAAAGACAATTTAACATACGGGATACAGGAATACAAACATCGACAACCCGAGCCCCGAACTTGGCCGCCGTTAGAGGGCGGCTCCTTTTTCTCCAACGGTACCGAACCAAAGACCCCTCCTTTGTCTCGCCTGTGCTCTTATCGAGAGCAGCCTGTCCCTCTTTCCCATTTTCCTGTGGGGGTCAACATTCTCATCCGGCGCTCCGAGCCCAGGGCTAGACGGCGCCAGGCGTAGGAGGCGCAGACGAGTCTGGCCCTCAGACACGACAAATCACCCCTGGCACTCTGAACGCCGGCTGGAGGGACAGGTGCCGAAAGACGAAGCACAGCGCCCGAGACACTTCTAGGAAAGCGACCGGCACTTGTCAATGGGAAGCGACAAACGACTCTCCAAGGAAACAGCCTCAAGCGGTAGCACTGATCGACTACCAGAGAAAAAAGTGAAAGCCGTTTACAACTCCCTGTAACACCGAATTAGAGCGCAGCTCTTGTGGAGGAGGAGGGAAGGGTACTGGGGGGGGGGGTCAAGTGACCTGGGGGGGTCACGTGACCTTGCGGGGTCACGTGACGATGCCGATGATGCCATCAGTGACGTCACTGATGACGGCATCAGTGACGACGACGATGCGGATTCCGATGACGTCATCATCACTGATGACGTCATCCGTGATGATGACGATGACGATGCGGATGCCGGTGACGTCATCAGTGACGTCAGTGATGATGGCGATGACGATGCGGATGCCGGGGACGTCATCAGTGATGATGATGATGACGATGAGGATGCCGGTAACGTCATCAGTGACGTCACTGGTGACGTCATCAGTGATTATGATGATGACGATGCGGATGCCGGTGACGTCATCAGTGACGATGATGTCATCGGGGAGGTCACGTGACCTCGGCGGGGGGTCACTTCACCGCGGGGGGTGTCACGTGACTTCGGGGAAGGGGGGGTTACGTGACCTTGAAGGAGGGGGGTCACGTGACCTCGGGGGAGGGGTCACGTGACCTTGGGGTGACCTTGGGATGACCTTGGGGGTCGCGTGACCTTGGGGTGACCTTGGTTACGCCGACGCCGACGCCGCTCAAGCCGGGAACGGGCCCCTAAGAGCTGCGCTCTAAAACACTTAACCGCGGAGTCTCCCCAGGCTCCAGCTGCAGGCAGCCGAGCGGGGCGCGGAACGCGCCGCGGCCTGTTCCCGAGTAACGCGACCCCCGCAGCGCAAAGGGAGCTCCCCGCCCCGCGCACAAACTTCTCCCTTCCAAAGGTCGTAAACATCCCCTAGTGAACCCCACACGTCTCCCCCAAATCGTTCGCGCAGGGCCTCCAGACGAAGTAAGACAACAAATAAAAAGGTTCCGGAACCTTACACCCATCTAACACACAACATTGTATATTCCACAAATATCCGTGAATCACATTTTCATCAGAGCATTCCGATATCCCATCACTGCTACCTACGAAAGATGCTCAGTGAAGGATGCAGTCAGAAATGTTAACCTCAAATTTAAGCCTGCGATCTAACACTGAGGATGATGTCCCACGTGTTCGCATCATTCTCAGAACGGCATCCTAGATTATATTTTTTATTAACTGCAATCGTCTGTCGATTGCGGTAATTGACTCTACGGGGGCTCTGAGACAAAGTGTACGTATATACATTATTTTCGATTGTGTACCTCAAGAATGCTCAGCTGTGTCTATATCATCACCTCCTACGAGCGGGTAGAGTTATCCGTTATAAATTTTGTTCCCCAAAGCAGCAGCGTCTGATCTTGTCCATTACGCCCTAATTCACCTGGGAGTTGAATGACCGATTTCAATTACGCTTAGGCTTATAGCAACGCAGTCTAGGGACAGCATAACCCCACCCAGTCAGTCTACAAGCAGCCGTGCTTAAATAAAACTTTTAAAAAAAAACGTCTTCCAAGCATTCGTTTTACGCGTCATCTTATCCTTTTTACTATATACGTCAAGGCTCTACTGTAGACGTTTTAATCTAATTGTTTTTTTACAGATAGATTGCAACTTCGTCGTTGTACTGTGGACTGAAGGTGCGAAGAAACCGTTGTATAATATTGCTGCAGCAAACACGGCCCTTGTTGGAAGGCAGATTGCGTTGCTTCTTAGGAAGCTAACTGGAGAATTTCCAGAGACTGTTTTGAGTTCAGAAGTTCACTTGATTGGCTTTAGTCTTGGTGCCCATGTCGCCGGATTTTCTGGAAGGACTTTTACGTTAATAACAAATAAAACTATAGGAAGAATAACTGGTAAGCATATTTTATGCTGATACAGATATACCACAAGTTCATACGAATATAAACGTGGCAATATTCATTTTTTTAAGTGTTACTGCAGAGACAGCCTGGAATATTAATAAAAAACGTACACGTTTGTGAAATGTGAACATGAAACAAATCAGTAAATGCCGTCGTATAAGCATAAAATAGAGTTAAGAACAACCAAGTTAGAAATCACAATCTCTTCGTAAAATAAGCGATCCCAGGTCCAAAATTAAAGTGGAAGTCTCAGGCAATACATGCCACTCGGTGATTGTGCAAAAAACAAAAATATACTTTTTTTTTTTTTGTAATTGGGTACACGTTTATTTTTCTTTTATTCGAAGAATATACGTGAGTTGGACCACATTCCTTCGTGCATCCAAAAAGCGATTTTTGTTAATTCTCGTCGGGTGCTGAACATAGCATATAAAAACTTTAAGCCCAGGTTTTTTTGCCCCAAAAATGGGGGTATTTATCCAAGTATGTTTTATATCTTTCACGCTGAAATTTCCGACTCTACTTTTTTTTCTAGTAGATCTTCTGGCACGGCTCTTCATTTTTACAACTTTCGGTGCGGGTCCCAAATAACACACGCGTATTCAAGTTGTCGTTCTCACTAAGCAGCAAGAGACTCAATTTTTCGGGAGCACTACGCAGGTTATGAGTAAGGGAGTGATGGTTCATCCTACATAAGTAATTAAACAAAAAGTGTGGGACAAATTCCAGATGCTTACATTAATGCATTGATTAAGTTTTTGGTCATCAAACAAAGAACTCTTTGAGATAGCATTATGTTTTAACTAATAGTAACGTCTTGTTGTGAAACTTATTACAGCGTTAAGCCCTAGTTCCCAAAACTTACACCACTCAGAAATCCATTCTATATATTATCTTAAAATGGCGGCACTACAAACACTGTTTACTCTGCTACACAAATGTAGATGCATCTGCATCTACCTTTTACGCCCCTGGAACATGAGCGGCGTCAGTGTGACTGATTTTAGTGTTCTTCCTTCAGAAGTAGAGTTATATTCTGTATGATTAGTCATTTTAAACTGGTCGACTGTTACAGTCCACCGCAGGTCAAAGGGCGATCTACACACTTGCGTCGAGTCCGACAGGGTGGAACTGCAACGACTTGCGACGTACGCGTGTTGTCATGACAACAGCCGCGTCGGTTCCAGCAAAACGGGGTACAAACCGGTTTTGTTGGAGTCGACGCAGCCGTAGCAACCCGTACGTCGCAAGCCGTTGCAGTTGCACTCGTTCGAACTCACGCAAGTGGGGAAACCAACCTTAAGAAAAGTCTATGAAAGGCTTCGCTCCCAAAGGCCTCTTCTACATGTTCAAAACAAGCGATTGCGAGTAGTCGAGTGGAGGGGAGAAACTATCATTACTACGTACCAATAGAGCTTTGAGAGGAGGGCCTGTCCCGCTATGGTTAGCCTGCAAGACCAATTCGTGCTATGTCTCCGCAAAGTATTTGCGCCGACCGCGAACCGCCGGGGAAGCGCTTGCCTTGACAACTTCTATGCGTTGAAATGACGCACGCTGAAACGTGGGTGAATACGTCGAGAGTGCGCCTTATGTGATTCGTCCTTTCGACCTAGGAGTTCGTGTTGACAATTCACTTTCGTTTAGTAACCATGTCCCTGTAGCTGTAAATGTGGCACAAACAATAGACGTGGTTTTGTGATTGTGTCACCAGTTTTGGATACTTTCTTACCTTTAGTTCCGCCACGCCTAGAATTTGACTGGGTCATCTGGAATGCTTTGACTGCATCACATAATTTTGTAATTGAGTATATATAAAAACGAATAGTAAGGATATACTATACGGCAGACACATTAGAATGGGTTGGGAAGGGGGAGTTCCTTCTGGTATAAAACGTTACTGCGCCGCCTTGTATTTCTCTAAGCTAACTGTAAGGAGGCCATTCAAATACTTAAAATTCTGGCCCACTGTAGTTAATGGCAAGGTAAAATCACTTTATTTAATGAGATCGATAGAATCGTCGTGTTCTTTCTTAAATAACTAGGAAAGTCGCACCTTCTGATCAGTCATGTATGTCCTCTATGTCCCCATTTATCGAGAATTAAAGAAAGATGATATCAACCTACACGATTTGAACCTTGATATTGGAACTTGTTTCGGGACTTCTGTTTGCATAGCTGCAAATGGATATTATCTAATTATGCCAATCCATGCCAATTGTATTGGTATTCCTTTCTTCGTTCATTTGATGATTTCGTTTCATTATATATATATATATATATATATATATATATATATATATATATATATATATATATATATATATATATATATATATATATATATATATATTTAATTTTTTCTTGGGGTGCTTGTGCAATACATATGAGTCCCATATTGTTGTTTCTGGGCACAAGAAAATAAAGATATATTAATAATATAATACATAAACCGTTTTTCAGGACTCGATCCAGCCAACGCCTTGTTCACGAACTCGGGTGTGCAGTTGAGAGCCAGTGACGCAGATTTTGTTGACGTCATTCACACCAACAAAGGAAAAGCCTCCAGTGGAAAAATGGGGATTGATAAGCAATGCGGTCACGTCGACTTCTATCCGAATGGTGGATCAAGACAGCCGGGGTGCAGCTGGTTCAGTGCGTTTATAATTCTTAAGTTACTATGTTATTACTTTTTCTTTCTTTTTTTTCAACTGGATACGCTTTTTGGCTTTGTGTTCGGAATGTGGTGAAGCCGTGATAAAAGCATGGCCTCGAGCTCGACGCTGGTTGGTTTTGAGTGGAGGAGAGAGGGGCGGGGGGAAGGGGGGAGGGGGGAGGCCGTTCCAGTAGAAAAAGCATTCGCGCCAGGCGGGAATTGACCATTCAGGTTTTTAAACGAGTGCCTTTCCAGCATATCACGACACACTTTCTGTTTCTTTTTTCTCTTTATTGCTTAAATACATCATGCAAAGCATACATTTCGAAGACGCAATGACATATCCAGTAAGCACACAAACAGACATTTGCAAACCTCGGCAGCACACTTCGGCTGAAGTCATCAGACGGACCTTAACGTAACCAGGCCGTCTAAAACTGGCAACCAATCTGGAGTTTCTTCTAAAACGGAATACATTTTCTGAAGTTGGCTCATACTCTGAGTAAAATAATGACACGCGGGTCGCATATCAATGCCGGCGTCTCGCACAGCCAGGCGGCCTTTTGATAAACTGTACAGGCCGAGGACCATAAGATTATATCATATGGAACAGACTCGGTTTTATCGACTGGTAGGAAAGGTATCAGACGTGTGTTTAGCAAAAGTTTTTTTTTTTTCAAAGTCCTTTGTAGAATTTCGAAAATAGAACACAGCGTCCCAGCTGTCCAAGAACAAGTGTTCAATGGACTCAGGTTGCTTACACAAAAAGGCAATTTACAGCCCAGGGCACAAAGGTATCCTTGTATTGTATACCCTTTTCTTAAGCGGGAGTGTCCCGTTTTGTAAATTGAAAAAGAAAGTTTTAATGTGCGTTGGTATCAACATTTTTTTTACAATGCGAGGGACAGCATGTCCCCCGGCGCAGGTACAATTAAGGCTAGCGGTTTCGGTAAGGCGCCCGCGCCATTTTTCCGTCTCTTATCTGGCTCAGCCAAGGAGTTTAGAAGTAGTAGGGGGGGGCCACGTTGGCAATATTGGTGAAGCCTAGTCATAAAAAGTTTAAACGATATCGTGCCCAGCGTGACCGCAGATCTGTCTGGCGATTGGTGCGCGTGACATGTCACGTGTGAGATGGATGGTTGATTGTAGAAGGACTCCTTGCAGGCTTGTGCGCACTCCGTCCGGTAGGTTTCATCAGATCGAAGGCTAGACGAAGGCTAGCTACGGTCACGTGGTGTGGTGAGAGTAAGGAGGACAATGAGAAAGAGGTGAGGCGTCAAAGGAGCATGGCTTGTGGAGGCTACGCGGCTGACGTCATGCCCTCTCCTACCCTTCTATTCTCCATGGGCCCAGCCTTGTACCTGCTCCACAAGCGGTAACTTCAGCGCACTACTGCGCTTCTTACGCGCTAAAATTCTTTCTAAAAATGACTCATTTAGTGGTTTTCAATAACGCTCAGCAAGTTTCTAATTGGAACCATATCTCTATTCTCACTAATTAAAAAGTTAATTAGTAAATTTTAATTAATCAGTGACATATCGCAAAGATTAGCCACCCACATAATGCCATAATGTCCCCCTGGGCGTATAACTCACTCGCCCAAACCACATAAGTGTAGCTTTCACGGTCTTTTGTTAAAACAAATCTGCAAGAATAAAAAACTACCCTATATATATATATATATATATATATATATATATATATATATATATATATATATATATATATATATATATATATTGTTGGGAAAGAAATGGAGGACAAAGAAGAAGCCTCACGCAGGTGCATTGGGTGCGCGCAGTCCAAAAATCCGCCGGAACAATTTTTGGACCGCCATGACCCCCAACATCAGCAAGTACGTTCGAGCATGTCACCAATGCCCAACAAAGAAATCCCGCACCACAAAGCCGTCGGGACTGTTATAATCTCTTGTCCCACCTGAACGGCCATTTCAACGCGTCGGCGTTGACTTTCTCGGCCTCTTTCCTCGATCGACCATGAACAACAAATGGATTATCCTAGCCATCGATCACCTGACGCGATACGCCGAAACCAAGTGCGTTCCAGCCGCCAACTCCTTTCTACACAGCATTTTGTTACGTCACGGAGCTCCCCAGCAGATCATCACCGATCGAGGCACCCCGTTCATTTCAAACCTCCTCGAAGACGAATTGCGCCTCGCATCAACCGTTCACGACGTCACAGCTGCACATCACCCTCAAACCAATGGGCTAACCGAGCGCCTCAATCACGCTCTAGCGGACAAGATCTCTATGTATGTTTCGGAGGACCACACTAATTGGGACACCGTCCTTCCATATGTAGCCTACGCCTACAATACCGCCCGTTAGGCTACTACCGGTTACTCTCCTTACTATCCTTTGTATGCCCGTGAGCCACTCACCCCACTTGACACAGTCCTACCTTATATTGAAGATAACACGGTTGAGCATTATACAGCAGACGTAATATGCCGGGCGGAGGACGCCCGCCAACTCGCCCGCATTCACACGTTACAGTGTCAGCAGCAGCAACAATTACGTCAAGCAGACCTTTATCGCCCGGCCCATTACAACGTTGCAGACGCGGTTCTTTTGTGGACCCCTTCACGCACCCCCGGTCTCTGTGAGAAACTTATGAAGCGGTTCGTAGGCCCATTCCGTGTACTGCGACAACTCTGGCCAACCAACTATGAGGTAGCCCCACTTTCGTCGCCTCGAGATCGCCGCTCCAAATCAAGCTAAATTGTTCATCATATCGCCCGTATGAAGCCATACTACCGCCAAGAGAACTAATTCTACCACAAGTGCCGGATGACCGGCCCTTTCGACGGCGGGGGATATTGTTGGGAAAGAAATTGAGGACAAAGAAGAAGCCTCACGCAGGTGCATTGGGCACGCGCAGTCTCTTCCCCGAAGGACATAGACAACGGTCGCAGAGCATTGTATTTATACATCCTCTCATTTAATACACCTATATTTTCACGCTCACAATATATATATATATATATATATATATATATATATATATATATATATATATATATATATATCAGTGTGTCGAACCGAAAAAAATACGGGTTCGGTTACGGTTCAGGTTCAGGTAAATTTATTTTGTTCCGGTTCAGTTCCGGTTCGATTAATTCGATCCGCGAACCGGTTCGGGGCGCTGAACCGGTTCGCGAACCGGTTCGGAAATTATAAATGACAAATTTCAACATCAAAATAAATTACAAATAAAACATCTGAAATCAGCACATACGAAACGGGATACATCGTAGTGTAAGGCTCAGGGATTTCTACCAGGAGTGGTTTTATTATATGCACTCAAAGGTTACCTCACCGACGTTTACGCATTCGGACTTCATCTAATTGGGTCCGACGCAGTAGCTGTAAAATCCGCGACCTCCTTACAAACCCACTTACAAGTAGAACTCGCTAACTATCCCGCCACCTCAGCGTGTAAGCAATTGAAGGAACAGTGGGGAGAAAATACAGTATTCTTTATTTGAACTAGCCTTCGATAACTCAAATTAGACCCTTAAAGAAGTTTTCATTAAACAAAATACGGAATATAAAAAACACTTCACCGAACGCAACGCCAGAAGGACGTAATAGGATAAATATTAAAATAGAAGAGTTCGCTGTCTCACAAATATGTTAGCTGCTAGGTGCCTATACGAAACCGGATGCATTATTATCAAACTCCACAGCCTTTTCTTTTCTCATTCCGATGCAAGCAAGCTTCAAGAACTCACGCGTTCTAGAAACGTGTTATGAATTGTGCGCACAGCAGCATTTAGGATTTATGAGATTGTAGGAAAATGAAATCTCGTGACGCGATTTTTTTTTTTTTCTTTGCACAGCCTTCCAATTCTCTTTCTTCCGTGCAAGCCGCGACCAGCGCAATGCTGGTTCCTATGTCAAGATTCATGGATGCAGCGTTTGTCAAGATTCATGGATGCAGCGTTTATATTCCTAAGACTGAGTGGAGAAGAAAAATATGTAAGCGAGGTGTGTGTCAGTTGACGGCACTTAAAAAACAAATGGCATTGATAGCACATTCATTGTCAACAGCGCGATTGCACATTCATTGTCAACAGCGCGTGGCCGAACCGTTTTGACATGAGCCGGTAACCGTTATTTTTTTTCCGGTTCAGTTCCGGTTCGGGTTCATCGCAATAACAATATAACGGTTCGGGTTCGGGTTCAGTTCCGGAAAAAATACCGGTTCGGTTCCGGTTTTCGCTTCGGTTCCGGTTCGACACCCTGATATATATATATATATATATATAACTGAGAAGAAAAATCCTGAGACTGGGAATGAAATTTGAAAGAAAAAGTGAAAGCCGTTTACAAATCCCTGTAACGCCGAATTGGAGCGCAGCTCTTGAGGAGGAGGAGTGAAGGGTACTGAGGGGAGGGTAGACCCCTCCCCCTTCTCCTCCTCCTCCCCTCATTCTTTAATATGCTCTGGGGGGAGGGTGTCACGTGACTTCGGGGAAGGGGTCACGTGACCTCGGGGAGGCGTGACCTGGGGGTGACCTCAAGGCCACGTGACCCCAAAGGTGACCCCCACGTGACCTTGGGGGTCACGTGACCTGGAGGGGTCACGTGACCTCGGGGGGTCACGTGACCTCAGAGGGGTCACGTGACCTGGGGGGTCACGTGGGGTCACGTGACCTTGAGATGACCTTGGAAGGGGTCACGTGACCTTGGGGAGGCGACCACGTGACCTCGGGGGTCACGTGACTTGGGGGTCACGTGACCTTCAAAGGGTCACGTGGGGTCATCTTGGGGTCACGTGACCTTGAGATGACCTTGGAAGGGGTCACGTGACCTTCAGGGGGTCACGTGGGGTCGCGTGACCTTGAGATGACCTTGGGAGGGGTCACGTGACCTTGGGGGTCACGTGACCTTGGGATGACCTTGGTTACGCCGACGCCGACGGCGACGCCAACGGCGACGCCGACGGCGACGCCGCTCATGCCGGGAACGGGCCCCTAAGAGCTGCGCTCTAAAAACCCTTGGTGAAAACAGCAACAACGGACGATTTAGTCTTCGACGTTTCGGCCGCAGTCCGGCCTTCGTCGAAGGCCGGACTATATATATATATATATATATATATATATATATATATATATATATATATATATACACACAAAACTGCTTCGTAGGACGACGAAAAGTGTATAAGAGAGTGAACTGACTAATTTTTATCTTCCTAATATCAGTCAATTCATAACTTTCCTTTTCAGGCATTGGCTGCAGTCACAGGAGATCGGCGGAGTATTTCGCTGAATCACTGACGGACGAAACTTGCAAGTTTGTGTCGTATTCCTGCACCAATGGGCTGCAGGACAGCGTGGACGCGTGTAATAAAAACCAAAGTGACCAATCCGAAATGGGATACTACAGCAAGGACGCACTAGGACGGGGAGCGCAGATGCTGCCAACAAATGGAAGACCCCCGTATTGCAAAGTGTGGTAACGAGAGTTCATTGAAATTTACACCCAATCAATCTCAGATCAAATATTGGACCAAATAAAAACAACGAAACTGTATTCAAGTATAGCTACTAATTACTTTTCAATTTATCTGCCTGTTGAGATGAATTTTCGTCGTTTTTTTTTTTTTTTTTTTTTTTTTTGTAGTCCCAATTATTGACGAGCTGAACTCTAATATGGCATTTAACTTGTCTGAACCTCCTAAAATTCAGCCTAATCCCGATCAGGGCGACGAACCGACCAAGAACCGGACACGAAACGTGGAAAGAATCCCAGGGGCGGATTTAGAGGGGGGGTCCGGATGTCCTGACCCCCCTCTTGATTTCTGCTTGTGTAAATTTTAGGGCGTAAAACGAAGGAGAGGGGAAGGGGGTTCCTAAACATATGGTACGCTGACCAACACCTGACCCCCCCCCCCCCCCCCTCAGGAAATTCCTGCATCCGCCCCAGAAGACACCGTTTCTATGCATTATAAGTCTGACGTTAGAATAAAATGTAACAAAGTTGGGTCACTGACACTCGCTCGACGCGAACCGAAATCGAGTGCCGATAAACCCGAACCGAAACAAACACGCGAACATCCTTTTCGGTTAATAGTTTACTACTACGCAGTAAGTATGTTCTAGCTTTTAATTCAATCCCCAGCACCGTTTTCTTAATCTCTACGTAAAACAAACTTGAATGATAGCCGAATAGCCGGCGACGAGTGCCCGAATATGCAAGGGGGAGGGGGGCTGGAGCAGACAAGACTACCTTTAGCTTTTGAGGTGTCATGGACAAGAGAACTGAAGAAAACATTTACGGTCTGGGAGACCTTAGTAGATACCTCCATCAGTCATCGTTGTTCGTTCCAAACAATGATTTCTTTTTTTTTCTTGCAATCAACAGTTTTTCTGTTTGTTTTCTCTGATATTAAAACGCTTGCGAAAAGTTTTGTTACAGATATACTAACAAAGAAAAAATGTGTACTGAATAAATATCTTATTTTCGTAGCAAGCAAGATGACTAAAACGGCAATACATTCTGTTCAAACAAAAAATCGCGTGGTATTAGTAAGTGCATCGCTTGAAAACAAATCTGGAGAGAATACAGGGTGTTCCAGGCGCGGATTTAGGGGGAAGGGGGGGGGGGGGGGGGGGGCGACCGCCCCTCCTAAGTTTTTCAAGGTCAACTTTTTTTTCAATACAATCATTGATATACATTAGCTAAAAGTGTAGTTTTTGGTGACATAGCAAATATTGGGTAAACAAAATAGACTTCACCAACGTTTCGACCGTTTCCGAGGTCAAATGTGCGCAATACCTATAAGAAAGGCTTGTTAAAAACGTTGACAAAAGTTTTTCGAGCCAAGAAAGAGGATAATACGCGAGAGAAATAGAAAATACGCCGGACCGCCAAGTTACCAGTGTGTCCTTTAGTTGCAAGAGGTTTCAAGGAACCCAGTTCTAAGAGGTCGCAAGAGTGCGAACGGGCCTTAACAGACGTCGATTCTACGTTTTCTTTGGGAAGTTATTTTGAACGTCGAGCACAAAACGTCCCAACAATGTCCTGAGCAACACCTTGACGCCATCGACGTCAGTTCTACGTTTTTTTGGGAGGTTCTCGAAACGTTGAGCGCGAGACGTACCAACAATGTCTGAGCAGCACCTTGACCTCATTGGTAATAATAGACGTCAGTTCTATGTTTTCTCCGCAAAGTTCTTTGAACGTGGAGCACGAGAAGTCCCAACAATGTCCTGAGCAACGCCTTGACGTCATCAACATTATTTGTTTTGTTTTTTTAGGAGGTTCTTCGAACATCGAGCGCGAGACGTCCCAACAATGTCCGAGTCGCACCTTGATATCATCGACATTATTCGACGTCAATTCGTTTTTTTTTTTTCAGGTAGGTTCTTTGTACGTTGAGAGAGAGACGTCCCAACAATGTCTCAGCAACACCTAGATCACCTAAATAAGCGCCTTATAGAGCCCCCCCTCCCCCCCCCCCCCCAAGGTCCTCTTATATCACTTATAAAATTTCTCGTCAATGGCAGCATTTTTTATACTGTGCATGCAATCTCCCTTTCAACCTGGCCGAGCTGCAGAAATCTCTTCCTATATTATCATTCTCGCGATTGTTGTCTTAGCAGGAATTGCTTAACAAGTTGAGAATTCACAACAACAAAGACCAGGATTTAGCTCGGAGTCAGCGGGGCTGTTTATAGCATTTTTAGAGTTTCTAATTTGATATCAGCGTCTTTGCATCTGTAAAAGAATGATAATAATGTAAGAGATTTTTGCAGCTCAGCCAGGTTGAAGGGTGGACAGCATGCAGAGTATCGAAGACGCTGACATTGACGAGAAATCTTAAAAGGGATACGACAGGTCCTTAGGCACTCTTGGACGCTTGTTTAGGGTGACTCCGAATTACACCCAAACCTGTGTAACCATGGCAGTGGTCGAAATTACTGGTATCGCCGCTGTTCCCGAGATCACCTCGTCCGGGGCCTGCGTTCCACGGTCCCTGGTCACGTGTCGTTGAGCTCCCCGGCGAGGGTGCCGACTGCCATGGCAGCCGTATCAACGCCACCTTGTCCCCCGCCGAAAGCGCACGCCTTCGGCGTTGTCGTGCCAGTAGGCACATCGGCGGACGACCTCTGATGGGGGATCCGCCATTTTGGGGTCGCCTGAAATTTTCTCGGCGCAGCACGTAGAAGGTACAAAATTTCAAGGCGTCGTCAACCCCCGCACCGACGCCCTCAAGCTTCGCGAGGCCGGCAGCGTCTCTATCGCGAACCAGTCAGTCCCCATCGTGCCGGCGGGCCCGCAGGTGATGAGTGTGACCTGCTCTTCCTGCCGACGTTTGTATGTAAAACATGTTAGGAAGAGTTTGTATGTAAAGCATGCCAGGAAGAGCCAGGATTTATTTCGGCGAGCTTCTTGACCACCTTCCGTCGCGCATGTGTGGCACCGGTGGCATCCGCTAGGGGCACTCTGGTTTGGTTGTGAACATGAGTTAGTCCATAAGCATTACAGCAATAAGGTTCTTGTACCTCCATATTAAAATCCCTTCAAATCCTCAGTCACAGGCAAAAGATATCAAATTCTCGGTCACAGGTTCAGATAACATTCTCAACATGTGCAGGCATCCAAAAGCACAACTGCACACTGCAAGGAAAGACACCATATAGCAAAACGTTTTATTCAAGATAATTCTCTTATTGAAAATGAGTAAAAGGGCACCATCCAACACAAAAAACTGCCACATCGAAAATAAAGCTAGCAGAAAAAGAATTAACAGAAGGTGAATAATAAAACAACCAAGAGAACATTAAAACTTTGTGCTCCAGTTCTTCATGCCGGAACAAACTAACAAAGGAAACATTGCTACTGCTTCCATACTTTCTTCTTGAAGTACTCCTGTGCCTGAAAAATCAGAAGAAGAAAAAAGCAGTGCACGTTAGCTAGGTTACAGGGAAGTTCTGGCGAAATTTCTATAGTCAGAGATCTGCATAAAAATTGGTTCGACACATTAATATACATTTGAACAAATAACCCGATTTACAAGTAACAATAATATTTTTTTTTCACCAAGTTGCTCTACTAGTAAAATTTCAAACGGGACATTACATGTAATAGGGGGGCAGTACACCTGGTTCCCGATTGGCTACAAGAAGTTTGATAGTATAAAATGGTTGCTGAAAATACTCATGCCAGCAAAACAAAAACAAAGAAGTGCAAAATACTAAAGAAAAGGCTAAGTGCGCAGGCGAGGTTGGGTTTATATGTACGCTTGAGAAATAAACCAGTTAGCCAAGTTTGAGACGTTCCCTTCGGTGTCTGTGCCTTCAACTAAAAGTGTTTTTCTTTTTCATTTTTTGCACCACAGTCCCAGGTATTAAACAACATGCAAAAAACTGTTTTTAGACTGCCTGCTCAACTTTCAAGTTATGCAACATGTGACACCACCCCACCGGAGAGTGCAGAAAGTTTGAATATTGGTATTGGTATAACCCTCACTTGGCATTTTGTCAATATCTATTTTTAATTCAGAGATATTGAACGCATGTCGGAAAGAGCAAAGCGGGTGTTTCGAAAATCTGTTCAGTTTGGGTAGCTCAAAAAATCGGCAGAGTTCCCCTTGAACTGGCACACCAATTAAAGGTTTGTGGGATATAGGCAGTTGGAACTCACGTTGCAAGGCGCCGCTTGTTTCTGGGGTTCCGCACCAGTACGACGGACCTTCCGAGCAGTGCTTGACGCCGAGAAACTTTCACTGCTCCGTCCCATCCGAGCACATGTCGACAAACTATGCCGAAGAGGAAGCAAAATATGTTTAATAAGCAACATTGATTCACAAATGCAGTGTAACGGGATTTAAAGATAAGAAGGTAAACGGCGGTGATGCAACTAAAGGTTCTTCTTTAGGATAACATATGGTTGCGCTTCAACGCCCGAAAATATTAACAGTTTTCTGTAACACCTTCATACTGTGAACATTTATTAAAGGGAAGCTAAAGAACTTCTTAAAAAAAAACGAGATAGAGGTGAATGCTGATTTGTTTTTATCCCATGATCCTGAATATGATGTTTGTTTTCTTAAAGATGTGACAAAACACGAGAAAACACAAGAAAACCTCTGATCAGTCGTGATGTCATACTAGGATCTTTGGACCGTCAAGTGCGTGTCGCTCATGTGGGCAGCAAGTGCAATAGCAAGCTTTTCCAGGTATAGTCCCCTTCACTCACAACAGTTGTGACGCCTCTTTCCAACCTATTTGAAAATAACAAGAGAGCGCGTGCATAGCTTTGACAGGCTCTGAAGATGCGCGAAAGCACAGATTCCAAAAAGTCGTAATATGATGTCACGGCCCAGAAAGGAGGAGCTTCAGTAGCACTTTGAAAAATAATTTCTGCAGCCTTCGTGCACCAAATCTTAAAAAAATTGTAAAACCGCTCCACTTCATGGGAAAATAGAGGACCAGCGAAGCTGTTATTTTTACGACTTCTAGGACGATGCCTAGAGGATGACGTCTAGGATGATCTCAAGGACGACTTCTAGGGCGACCTCGAGGACGACGCCTAGAGGACAATGCCTATTACGACCTCTCGGACAACCTCAAGAACAACTTCTAGGCCGACCTCAAGGACAACTTCTAACACGACCTCAAGGACGATGTCTAGGACAACCGCAAGAACGGCTTCTAGGATGACCTCGGGGACGGCGCCTAGAGGACAACCTCTCGGACGACGTCTAAAACGACCTTTCGGACGACGTCTAAAACGACCTCTCAGACAGTCTCAAGGACGACTTCTAGGACGACCTGGAGGACGATGCCTAGAGATGAAAACAAGGGATCAAGACCTCACTATCTAATAATGCCAAAGAAGGCTGAATCATGCTGGTTGCCCCCTCTTTTTGTTTTTATTTATTCATACTTGCCACGACCAATGAGGAGTTTTCTGTCAACATCCGCGGAAACCTTTTTTCCCAAATCCTAGCACATAACAGATCTGCTGAAATAATCTCAATATTCGTGATCCTGGAGGCCAAATAAAGGTGATTTAAGTGTTTTCCACGATCTAGGTGTTTTTCTTCAAACAGAGGACCGCTTCAATTTCCCTTTAATGCAAATTTTTGTACCTGCATACTAGTTCCAAAATACTGGAAACAACTTGTATTATGTAGTGCTTTAATTTCTTAACATGAAAAAAAAGAGCATCATATACATAATATGTTTCTTTGTAGGCAAGTACCTTGTTCTTCGTAAAATGGGAATTACCATACGTTCCGGTGTATAAGTTGTGGTTTCTTTCGAACATTTCTTAATGCGCGTTATACAACGATGCAACTTACCATAAAATGCCAGGTAAGTGCCCACCCTACTTTCACTGAAAACCGGGTTAACCTGGACATGAGCGCTTGTCTGGTCAAATCAGGCACTTAAAGTACAGGGTGTCACAAAAGAAAATTTACACGGTCTTTTTTACCGCAAAAATATACTAGGCATCGCCGAACGCTCATTCTCCGCCCAAAGGTAGCGCTATAGGTCACAACCAGATGCCAAAGTTTCAGCCCGATCCGATAACTTAATAAAAAGTTATATATGATTTTCTGAAAATTTCAATGGGAAAATGGTGGCCGCCGGAGTTTTCGAACACATGGGGCTCTATGGCACCAGAAACCGAAAACGGGCAAAAATGGGCTCCATTTTCCCATTGAAATTTTCAGAAAATCACTAATAACTTTTGATTAAGTTATCGGATCGGGCTGAAACTTTGGCATCTGGTTGTGACCTCTAGCTCTACCTTTGGGCGGAGAATGAGCGTTCGGAGATGCCTAGTTTATTTTTGCGGTAAAAAAGACCGTGTAAATTTTCATTTGTGACACCCTGTATAACTTAAAGAATTCACAAGTTTGGGAAATGTTAATAGTGGGCGCTCGAACGAAATGGGCGCTTCCACGGTATTTTACGGTATGTGCGGATGTTTTTCTTTCTCTCGAAAAATCTTCATGGTGGTACTGCTTCACAGGGCACAAGATCAGACACACTTAAAAGTAACTTCACGCATACACAGGAAGAACACTCTTGCAGCGCTGACTGACAACTCAAGTGTATTATGCATCATCTTCATCTTCCTTCACTCCGATGCAAATGGCAGTGAAACAAAAAAAAAAACGGGGATCATATGAAAAAGAGAAAAGGAAAGAACAGAAAAAGGATTAAAAACAAAATATAGAAGGAAGAAAAAATATAGAAGGAAGAAAAATAATGAATTTCCTGTACAGCGGACGTTGCTGCTGTGCTTGTGCTATATTGTTCAACTCTTTTACGTTAAGGCTAGCGAAGGAGTACTAACACATATTCTATCTAGCCTTACAATGTTAGCGGTTTCTGCTATTTCTCGCGTCAGTATGTTCCTGCTCCGTCCCAGTATGGTGCATTTGTCCAGGAGGGGAGAACAACCACACTCTCTGAAGTGGATGCCTAAATGACCCAAGTTGGCATTTATGGCATTTTTGTTATGCTCACGAAGTCGGTCATTTAGACAGCGACCCGTCTGTCCGATGTAACACTTGCCACATGTAAGGGGGAAGGAATAGATTACTCCCTCATTGCAGGACACGAACTTGGTCCGGTGGTTTTTGATGCATCCAACTGATCAACTAGATGTCACTTTCACCTTCTTGCACAAGCTAGAAAGTCTTTTCGGCGCGGAGAAAACAACGTCTACGTTGACTCTGTTGGCCATTTTCTTGAACTTGTGGGATGGGTTGTGGATGTATGATACACTTGATTTGTCAATCAGCGCTGCGCGAGTGTTCTTCCTGTGTATGCGTGAAATTACTTTTAAGTGTATCTGATCTTGTGCGCTGTGAAGCAGTATCATGAATAACCAACTCGCCCAACTTGTTTTTATGCGCCACACGGCATCTTTTGTAGAACACCTTAACTATGGAGCCTTAGGTGGTGTTGCCCCTTCCAGGAGGCACTGCTGTCGCCGCAGTCTTCTTCACTTTTCATAACTGACTCGGAAAGCGAGAAATTTGACGGTTTCTCCAAAGCAGCCAAATATGGATAGGTAAGGCAGTGATAATAAAGCTTTTACAGCATGCGATTGACGTTGTTTACTTCAGCCATGGTTCCTTATTCTTTTGCCTGTCTAGTAACGCTGAAAGGTAAAAGACTTGGTATATACAAGCATTGCCAAAACTTTTCGCAGCTCTTTTTTAGTTTCCGTTTGATAAGCAGCTTTTATCTGACATGCTCTAGCCGTGTTGCTACTTATAAAAGGAAGGATTGCGACTAGCTGATCTTTTAGAGGGAACAAAAGGAGTGTGTCAAGATATACCTATCTGCCTGTGCGTTGTTGCTCGCGTCGTCTCTATAACTAGGCCTAGTGGTCCAAAGCTTGGATCACGAGTGTCTGGCATGTTAAACTTTCTTTCGCTTAGCATGGTACACTTGCATAAAGCCGACCACCTACTCATTTCGCACGATTTACGTCCTTTTGCTACGAAACACTCGATTGCTTCCGCCAGACAGTGTCATGCATGAGCATTTCTCGAGAGTCAAAGACGTGAGAGTTGTTGCGCGTCAAACGGTACATATGAACTAGCCGATTGTGCGATACTTCGAGTTCACGATACCGATGTACGTAAACATTTTAAAAATTCATCGCTTGATTCATGCAAAGATGTGCAACTTATATACCAACTTTTCTGCTAAAACAGCGCAATATACAGAACTGTGCCTTGTAATCCGGAAAATACGGTACCTTCATACGTAAAATCACATCCGTCCAAGACGTTGCATCTCTGTGCAGAGTGCCCCGCCCCGAGTTGTCCCACCCGGCCCACGAGCCACACCCATTAAATCTGCCTCTGTTTTATCCCCAATTACAGAATGTCTGTTCCAGCACAGCATATTCGAAGTGTGGTACAGTGAAATAGTACTTACAAAATAAAAAACCTGCAAACATAGCCATTAATGCGATAATTCATTCACTGTTTTCCTTTCTTTATTTAACTCACTTCTGAGGAACGTACCACAATATCATACAGACAGTAATTTCAGTGACTGAATTTCCGAACACACAAATAGCCATGACCTTCTGGCAGAGGTAATTTCACCTGCTCGCTCAAAAAAAGTTGTACCCTATGTAGAGCTTTAGCATAAAACAGCTACAACATGAGAACTGTTTTACTGCACAGTGAATGCAAGCCCGATCCTGTTACCTATCTATGTCTGGTGAACTCCAGATATTAGTTCGCGTTATTAACTTAAATCATTTATGCTCACCTTGCAGATTTCATGGCTGTTGCCAATGTTTCCGATGGCGTCGTGCAGGTAGGGTCCGTGCAGGTCAACCAAGGATGCACACTAAAAAAACATAAGTGAGCTTGTACATTGAGCTAGATGGTAGTGACCATAGAAACCTTTATACAATACGAAGCTTTTTTTCTCGCTTCTGGCATATTAAATTTTTTTCTCTATTTTGTGCAGATCCAGATCATTCTCAGCATTTATGGAATGCATTCAAATCTAGGGTTTCATATAGTATTGTTTTCAAAGTAATGTGTCTTCAGAGCAAAGATAATCATCACTTTGAGTAGACACCCCCGCTTTCACATCATTGCACCAATGTCCTTGATGTTTCACAAAATAATGTTGCAACACCATCAAACCAACGTCCCTCCTCATTTAATAAATACATTTTTAGAGAGACATTGACAGTGTCTGCTCAGCGCCGACTACAATCCATTACACACCCCAACAAACCACTGGATGTCCATTGGACATCCGATAGATGTCCGCTCAAGATATTCGCACGTCCCGAGGAGATCCGTAGCCGTCCGACGGACGTCCCCAGGACATCCGTCAGAGTGCCAAACGTAACAAACTTGCATGTCCGTCGGACATCCGAAATGGGATCCTTCTGCAGGCCAATTTCGGATATTCGGTTGGCATGCCTCAATTCATTCTTTAGCCCAGATATGCTGTAAACCAGCCAAAGCACTAACTTGAGCCAATTTTTACTAGGCAGAATTTCTTCGGATATCCCGTGAACATCCGATAGAGATCCGATTCAGATATAGCGAACATCCGTGGGACATCCGTATACGTCCAACGAATATCCCCGGGACATCCGGCAGAGCGCCAAAGCGAACAAAATCGCACATCCGTTGGACATCCGAAATGGGATCCCTCTGCAGGCTCATTTCGGATAGTACCTGTACATTCGGAAAGTACCTGTAATTGTGTGGCATACTGTAAGGTGATAATCCCCGGCGTGGGCAAGTCCTCTCTGCACCGTATGGCCCTAAGAAAACAAGTTGGAGACTGTATCGGTATGAGTGAAGATAAATTTTGCAACACTTGGAAAATACCTGTTGCTGAGTAGTGTAGTGTAAGGTGTTCGTCCCTGGCATGGCAAGGTCATTTCTGCACCAAGGTGAAGAAGAGATGAGTGCACACAACTTTCACACCAGAACCGGAACATACCTGTAGCTGAGTGGCATGGTCTAAGGTGCTACCTCCTGGTGTGGTGGGCAGCCCTTGCTACACCGCATGGACCTAACAAATCAAGTTGAAGAAAGTATTGCCGCGCGCAAGGCTGAGAAACAAACGCTCGGTCACGGTCCTCCAGAAAGTTCCCGTTTATTCATGTACCGCGCGTAACTTCTATCATTTATCCCTGCTTTTGTTTTCTAGAAAGTACGTGTTCATTCTCGCCCCGATCACGCGACGCTCGAACCGCTTTCGCCGAATCTTCGAGATAGCGGCGCACTCTAGATAAGAGGCCGCCCGCGACCTTGTCGAGTCAGTCTCGCCCTAGCGCTCGATTCTGCTGACACGCCGACATCGACGCCCGCGACGCTCTGCTTTCTTCTGTCTCCTTCTTTATTTTTGGCACAAGTTCGCCACATCAAACGTTATTTATTCCTGTTTATTTCTTGTTTATTAGTCACCACCCGTGACATTTTGGTGGAGGTGCGGGGTACCGCATGTTCGTGCAGCGCAGCCCCCCAAGTTCCCGCACTGCAAGTCCGAACCCAAGCTCCCGAGGACCCAACGAAGACCAGATCGAGACTCGATCAAGTCGCCGAACCCAAGGGCTACACCCGGAATACGGACCTTTACCACCCAGGACCAGGCAGCCGACGATGGCCAACCAGTCGCAGACCCCCGCCGCTCCTGCCGTCGTCTACCTACCCGTCGCTCCTCGGACACCGGCTCCATTCCACGGCGAGCAGTACGAAGACGTCGAAGACTGGATTGACCAGTATGAACGCGTTGCCCGCCACAATTGCTGGACAGACGAGCAGCGCCTACACAATGTCTATTTTTCGCTTGAGGGGACTGCCAAGCACTGGTACGAGAATCATGAGTCCTCCCTGACGTCGTGGGACATTTTCAAGAACGATCTCAAGGCTACCTTCATCAACCACCACCGCCGAGAGAGAGCCGAGGACCTACTGCGAACCAGAACCCAGGGCCCCAACGAGAGTGTCACCGGCTTCGTAGAGGACGTCCTGCGCCTGAGCGCCCGCGCCGACCCTCGGGCTACAGAGGAGAAGAAGCTACGAATCCTCATGCGGGGCGTGAGAGAAAATATCTTTGGTGGCCTTGTCCGCAGCCCTCCGACAACTGTCGAAGATTTTGTCGCCGAGGCAACGAACATCGAGCGTGCCCTGCAAGCCCGAGCCAGCCACTACCAGAGGCTACCCGGCGTCAGCGCGGTTCCGCCGTCCGCTTGCGACCTTGGGTCCAGCATCCCAAGCATTCGCGAGATCATTCGCGACGTCGTCCGGGAGGAGCTGCGAAAGCTACTACCCGCCGCGGACCGACCAGCTTCGCTCTCCATCGCTGAGGTCGTGCGGGAAGAGGTGCAGAGAGCCATTCAACCAGAGGCTCCCATCAGCGCAGCAGTCTCCGAAGAACCCGCGCTAACTTACGCCGCAGTGGCCCGACGTCCACCGCCTCCTCCTCGCGCCTATGTCGCGCCGCCCCGACGCCAGTCTCCTGCGCCGCAGCACGACCGACGCCACGACGACCAACCCCAGTACGCCAGCCAGGAGCCCCGTGCACCCCGGAAGACCGATGTGTGGCGAACACCCGACCGACGCCCTCTGTGCTTCCACTGCGGGGAGGCAGACCACACCTACCGCCGATGCCCATACCGTCGACTCGGGCTGCGCGGATTCCACCCAAGCGACCCGCGCCCCCGGTATGGTGAACGCCCTCGGGAGATCGACGAGTACCTGCGACGACCCCAGTCCCCCGAGCCTGCGTCCCGCCGAGAGTTCCGGTCGCCGTCACCGCGACGTCCAGCTTCGCCGATGCACCGACCCCGACGTGAAAGCCTGTCGCCCCTCGCTCCTCGCCGGGGAAACTAGGCGCGGCAACCCCTGGAGGTGGAGTTGCCGAAGACGACCGACGTAAAGAGCCTCCACGAACGACGGAGCGCTCCCACTCTCCCGACGATACGCATCACAACGACGCTCCTGCTTCGGTGTCCAACAACTTAAACGTTGTTATTGACGGCCTCGACTCATCGGCACTCGTGGACACCGGAGCAGACTACTCAGTCTTGAGTGGGAGGCTCTCTCGCCGCCTGCGAAAAGTCATGACGCCGTGGGATGGACCCCAAATACGAACCGCCGGAGGACATCTCATCACGCCAGTCGGGAGATGCACTGCTCGCGTCGAGATCCACGGTGAAACGTGCCCTGTGAAGTTCGTCGTTCTGCAAGACTGTTCGAGGGACGTTATCCTCGGAATGGACTTTCTCTGCGAGTATGGCGCCGTCATCGACCTCGGGGCAAACCAGTTGACGCTGCGGAAACCTGTTTTACCGCCGGTAGAGACCAACACAACATCAACCGCGATCCGAGTTATCGCCGACCATGTGAACCTACCGCCGCGGTCGAGTGTTTTCGTCACCGTTATGGCCGACGCCGCCATGCACGGTGAAGCTCTTCTGGAAGGCAGCGTCCAACTGCTCCTCGAAAAAGGAATTGGCGTCGCAAGAGGCGTAACGGATCTCCAAGAAAGACGTACAACTGTTCTTGTGACGAACTTTCGAGAGGAGCCGCAGCACCTAACGAAGGGTACCACCGTGGGCCACGTCGAGGAGCTTCAAGCGCCAGCGGTGGTCACCGCAATCTCCGAGGAAACCTCGTCGCCACAGCAGAAAAGCACGACGCCGCCGCCGCTCGACATTGACCCCGAGCTCCCAGCTACGAAGCGCCGGCAACTGATTGATCTCCTTGCCGAATACAGTGACTGTTTTGCCACGACATCAAAGATTCGCCAAACACCAATGGCGAAACATCGCATTGTTACCGACGACGACGCACTTCCTGTCCACCAGTCGCCGTATCGGGTCTCCTTAAAGGAAAGGAAAGTGATTCAAGATCAAGTCCAGGAGATGCTCGACGACGACATCATTCAACCCTCAAGGAGCCCATGGGCGTCCCCAGTCGTCCTTGTAAAGAAGAAGGACGGAACCCTGCGGTTCTGCGTGGACTATCGTCGACTGAACGCCGTGACAAAGAAGGACGTCTATCCGCTCCCCCGCATCGATGATACGTTAGACCGACTGCGCCACTCCCGATATTTTTCGTCGATGGACCTGAAGAGTGGTTATTGGCAGATTGAAGTCGACGAACGTGACCGGGAGAAAACTGCCTTCGTCACTCCCGACGGACTATACGAATTCAAAGTGATGCCGTTCGGACTTTGTACAGCACCAGCCACCTTCCAGCGCGTCATGGACACCGTGCTGGCTGGTCTGAAATGGCAGAGCTGCCTCGTCTACCTGGACGATGTCGTGGTATTCTCACGAGATTTCGACGAACACCTCAGACGACTTCGAGCCGTGCTTCAAGCCATCAAGACCGCCGGCCTGTCACTCAAGCCAACAAAGTGTCGGTTCGCCTATGGGGAACTAAAGTTCCTTGGCCACGTCGTGAACAACAAGGGTGTTCTACCTGACCCCGAGAAGACCCGCGCCGTAGCTGCATTTACGCCGCCGTCTGACAAGAAGGCCATGAGAAGATTTCTCGGACTCTGTGCCTACTACAGGCGCTTTGTTCGAGACTTCGCCAAGCTATCCGCACCGCTGACACACCTCACGAAGGACGCCGTAAAGTTCGAGTGGACAGAAGAACACCAGAGGTCATTCGACGAGCTCAAACGAAGACTCCAGACGCCCCCGATTCTTGGCCATTTCGACCAGTTTGCTGAAACCGAGATCCACACCGACGCCAGTAACACCGGACTGGGTGCGGTACTAGTCCAAGTGCAGGACGGAGCCGAGCGAGTTATCGCATACGCAAGTCGGACGCTGTCTAAAGCGGAGAGGAACTATTCAACGACCGAAAAGGAGTGCCTCGCTGTCGTATGGGCAATAACAAAGTTTCGCCCATATTTGTATGGAAGTTCTTTTCGCGTAGTCACAGACCACCACTCGCTCTGCTGGCTGGCGAATCTGAAGGACCCCTCCGGACGCCTCGCTCGGTGGAGCCTACGACTGCAGGAGTTCGACATGGCCGTGGTGTACAAGTCCGGCCGGAAGCACAATGACGCCGACTGCCTGTCAAGGGCCCCAGTCGAGGCCGGTCCTGCCTGCACCAAAGAGGACGACGATGAGTGTTTCCTCGGCGCTCTGGATGTAAGCGACATGGCAGCACTCCAACGAGACGACCCTGAGCTGCGAGCACTCATCGAACACCTAGAGGGGCAAGGAAGCGCCGTTCCCCGCGGTTTTGTTCGAACACTGCCAACCTTCTCCATCCGACAAGGCGTACTGTACAAGGAGAACTTCAGCGACAGCAACACGGCGTGGCTGTTGGTGATCCCTTGCAGTCTTCGAGAAGAAATTTTTCAAGCCTGCCACGATGACCCGACGGCGGGACACCTTGGTTACAGCAGGACTCTTGCGAGGATACGCGAAAAGTACTTCTGGCCCAAGCTTGCGAAGACAGTACACCACTACACCCGATCTTGCCACGAGTGTCAACGAAGGAAGAAGCCACCGACGAGACCGGCAGGACTTCTTCAGCCTATTGCGCCGCCATCTGCCCCATTCCAGCAAATCGGTATGGATTTACTCGGACCTTTCCCACCGTCGACGCAAGGAAACCGATGGATAATCGTCGCAACCGATTATCTCACGCGGTACGCCGAGACAAAAGCCCTTCCATCAGGAACGGCTGTTGAAGTCGCCAAGTTTTTCATCGAGTCCATTGTCCTCCGGCACGGCGCTCCCGAAGTCCTGATCTCAGACCGTGGATCATCATTCATGGCCCAGCTGACGCAAGAAGTCCTTCGTCTCAGCCACACCAGCCATCGTCGCACCACGGCGTACCACCCGCAGACCAACGGGCTGACGGAGAGACTCAACAAAACCATCGCCGACATGATCTCCATGTACGTCGACGTGGAGCACAAGACATGGGACGAGGTGTTGCCGTACGTCACATTTGCCTACAACACGGCCGAACAAGAGACCACCGGAGTGACACCCTTTCAACTGGTGCATGGGCGCAAAGTAACGACCATGCTGGACGCG